AAGTAAAAGAAAGAAAAACAAAAAGGTTTGTTTAGAGAAAGAACGGTTCTGGAAGCTTAGATGGTTGAAAACTAGGCAGTCACATCTGGAAGACTGCTCTATAAATAGGCCACAGGAGGCCAGGGGCAGGTGGTTCACGCCCATCATTCTAGCTACTCAGGAGGCTGAGATCTGAAGGTCACGGTTCAAAGCCAGCCCAGGCAGTAAAGGCCATGAGACTGATCTCCAATGAACCATCTAAAAACCAAAAGTGGAGCTGTGGTTCAAAGTTGGTAGGGTGTTAGCCTTGAAGAGAAAAGCTCAAGGATAGCACCCAGGCCCTGAGTTCAAGCCCTATGACTGACAATAATGATAATGATAATAATGATAACAATAATAAGAGGAAGAAGAGGAGGAGGAGGAGGAGGAAGAGGAGGAGGAGGGGAGAAAAATATGCCACAGGACATACATGGAGTGTTATAAAACTTCTATGTAAGTCACCTTGAGAAAGAAAGTTATAGAAGGCACCTAGCTTCTTTGGTAATCACCTCCCATGGTTACTAACCACACTTGCAGAAGATTACACTAATCTCTTCAAAAGGATCTATATCCCATGAAGGAATTATCTGTGAGTCTCGGTGTGTGCACCAATACTAGAGCTTGAACTCAGGGCCCAGGTGCTGTCCCTAAGCTTTTCCACGCAAAGCTGGAGCTCTACAGCTTGGAACACATCTCCACTTTCAGCTTTTTTGGGTGGTTCATTGGAAATAAAAGTCTCATAGACTTTCCTGCCCCAGCTGGCTTTGAACCATGATCCTTAGATCTCAGCCTCCTGAGTAGCTAGGATGACAGAAATGAGCCACTGGCACTCAGCTTACCATATCTTTTATTTATTTATTTATGATCCTAATTTCTAATGACAAATGTAGTTTATGAAAAACCTTTTGGAAGGATCACGGAATCTGCTTTTAGAAAAGCAGAACAAAGTCTGGCTGCTTCTCAGTTCGTCAGACAGAGAACAGGTTTGTATTTTCTTTATTCCCCACAGGTTGATCATCTCAGTAGCTCTAAACGTGAGAAGAAGTCCTTGATTTTCCCCGGGTGTGGGGGACCTCAGGGCCCTCTGGGTTGGGCTAAAACTCTGGCAGAGGATTCACAGAGGCGATGCCAAAGGCCTGGGGCATCCTTGGTAGGCTTGCTCTGTGGGCTGATGCAGAACGAGGCTTTCCTGTATTTTGAGAGATCTTATCTACAAAACCATCAACTAGGCCGGCTCCTGAAATCACGGAAAAATTAAGCCTGGGATGACCCAGTTTCTGGGTGAATGCCTCACAACCAGGTTTTTTTACCTTTAATACTGTCAGGGTACATCTATGCTATGTGTGTGCATGTGTGTGTGTGTGTGTGTATACACGTGCAAACCTGGGGTTTAAACACAGAGCCTGGCCACTGTCCCTTAGCTTTTTTACTCAAGGCTGGCACTCTTACCACTGGAGTCCCAGCTCCACTTGTGGCTGTGTGTATGTGTGTGTGTGTGTGTGTGATTGGAAATCAGAGTCTCATGGACTTTCCTGTGTGGGTTGGCTTTGAACCATGATTCTCCGATCTCAGCCTCCTGTGTAGCTGGGATGACAGGTGTGTGCACCAGAGCCCAGCTGCACCCACCATTCAATGTGGATTGGTAACTTGATTTCATCAAAGACAATAATTCCCATTCTCATTTCATTTTCAACTTAGACTTTTTTGTTTTAAGTTGCCACGGGAAAAAAACAACTCTTAATAAATCCCTTTAAGCAGAGGAAACGAGGGCAATTACTGACATTTTCAGAAGAATTGAAACGTTTTAAAGTGTGTTGATTCATGTTCTAAAGGACGTAAGTAATCCTTTCTTTTCTTTCTGTTTTGTTTCTCGTTTTGGGAAGGGCCTCATTTAATTTCAAGGCAGACATGGGACACACAGACTGTAAAATTGAATTAATTATCTGATGGTACCCCATCAGGTTTTATTTTTTGTTTTGTCCTTCAAAACAGTGGTTAACCATTTGTGATGGCCTACACTGAAATGATCGCGCGTGCTTTGGGGCTATGACAGATAGATGTATGTACAGGACAAATTATAATAACAAGAAGGAAATCAAGTTTTGTGTGTTAGTGATTCATCACTGTAACTACTCATTAAATGCTCAACATCTGATGTAAAATATTGAAGAATCTTGAGGTGATACCTTGAAGCAAAAATACACAGCATGAGTTAACCGACGGTAGTGTGTGTGTGTGTGTGTGTGTGTACCAGGGTTTGAACTCAAGGCCTTGCACTTGTGTTTGGCTTTTTCACTCCGAGTTGGCATTCTACCACTTGAGCCATGCTTCTTAGCTTCCTGAGTAGCTGAGATTACAGACAGGAATCTCTGGTGCCTGGGTTCTCTCTGTGTGTCTGTCTTTTTGTCTGTCTGTCTGTCTCTCTCCCTGCCAGTCCTGGGCCTTGAATTTAGGGTCTGGACACTGTCCCTAGGCTCCTTTTGCTCAAGGCTAGTGCTCTACCACTTGAGCTACAGCACCACTTCCAGCTTTTTCTGTGATTAATTAGAGATAAGAATCTCATGGACTTTCCTGCCCTGGCTGGCTTCGAGCCACGATCCTCAGATCTCAGCCTCCTGCGTAGCTAGGGTTACAGGTGTGAGTTACCAGTGCCTGGCTCCCCCACCCTCTTTGCTATTTCCTTCTACTTCATTCAGCTATATTAAAATAAATCCCTGCTAAATGAGAGGAGAGAGTGAGAGCAAGAGAAGAGAGCTGGGAAGAATAATGGCTCATTGAATGATGCAAATTTGGAAAACTAGGGATGGAAATAGAAATTCAGTTAAGTCAAATAAGCTAGATTTAAAGGGACAATAGTTATGTGGTTTCTTCTCATATAAAGAAGACCTAGGAAGAGGTAACAATGATCCATAGGAAATGTACTCATTTCTTTCCTCATGTAACTGTAACCCCTCTGTACACTATTTTTACATTAAAAAAAAAACATAAAAAACAATGAAAAACCCAAAAGACATAGATTAAGATAGGTAGATGATAGATCAATAGATGATAGATGGATGACTGATAAATGATGGATGGATAAATGGATGGATAGGTACATATAGATAAATAGGGCTGGGAAGGTGGCTCAGTGATAGAGTGCTTGCCTTGCATGCATGAAGCCCTGGGTTCAATTCCTCAGTATCCCATACACAGAAAAAGCCGGAAGTGGTGCTGTGGCTCAAGTGGTAGAGCACTAGCCTTGAGCTGAAGCGCTGAGGGACAGTGCCCAGGCCCAGAGTTCAGGCCCCACGACCCGGGGGGGGAAAAAAAAATCCCATCCCATCATCCTACTGGCCTCCCCACAAAAAGTTTCTAAGGTTCCAGTCCATGGTTACCTGGCAAGACCACAGTAGATCTGTGAGGGGCTGAGCATCATGTTGCAGAGTGTGTGGAAAACAGAATGGCTCCACTCATGGTGGACAGGAAGCAGAGAGGATGGGACAAGAGGAAGAGGTGGCACAGCTCAAAATACAGCCTTCAAAGCCACACCCTAAGGCACGAAGCCACGCCCTTAACCATTTGACCACACCCCCAAACAACCTAATCAGGCCCATAGCAACATGATCACGCCCCCTAGCAACCTCTTAGGCTGCTCCTCCTGAATAGCTAGGAACTCATGAATGCAATAACCCACTGGTGAAGTTACCACCCTCAAAATCTAATCACCTCAGGGGCTGAGACTTTATTTCTTTTTTTGGGGGGAGGGGAGACAGGGGTGTCATCAAGCTACTTTAAACTGGAATCCTCAAATCTCAGCCTCCTGAGTAGTTAGGATTACAGGCATGAGCCACCGTGCCCCTGCTAGAAACCTTTTGGATAACCAGTGTCCAACAGTTCAGCAGCTACCTCCACCCACTTTTTCAAGTCATATTGTTTGACTAACCTCCAAATAGCATAAATTCTGATAGATTGGTAGGGGAGGTGAGGGGGTACGGGGGGGGGGGATAGAAACACATGAAGCCAACTGCTAGTGGATGAACAAGAACAAACAGGCAGGCCGGGTGCTGGTGGTTCACACCTGTCACCCTAGCTACTCAGGAGGCTGAGATCTGAGGATCATGGTTCAAAGCCAGCCAGGGCAGGAACGTCTGTGAGACTCTTATCCCCAATAAACCACCAGAAAACTGGAAGTGGCACTGGGGTTCAAGTGGTAGAGCACTAGCCTTGAGCTAAAGAGCTGAGGGACAGCGCCCAGGCCCAGAGTTCAGGCCCCATGAATGACAAAAATAAATAAAAAAAAATAAATGGACACAGATGATAGATGAGTCAGGCGCCAGTGGCTCACATCAGTAATCCTAGCTATACAGGAGGCTGAGCTCTGGGGATCATGTTTCAATGCTAGCCTGGGCAGAAAAGTCCTTGAGACTCTTATCTGCAGTGAACCATCAAAAAGCCAGAAGTGGAGCTGTGGCTCAAATGGTAGAGCACTAGCTTTGAGCGAAAAGGCTGAGCAAGAGCACCAGGCCTGCGTTGAGGCCTCAGTACTGACACACCCAAGAAAAATGAGCATCGAGTTTGGCTCAAGCAGGCATTTAACGTAGAAGAAACATTTTTTCCCATGCAATGGTAAACTTGAAAAAAAAAAAGAGGTTACAGCAAAGGGTACAGGGCTGGAGGTGTGGCTCAGTCGTAACGTGCCTGCCTAGCAAGCTTGAGGCCCTGAGTTCAAAGCTCAGTACCATAAAAACAAAAACAATACCCATACTACACATTTCTCAGTCGAGATTTTAGATGCCCTATGTTATCAGAATCACAGTTGAGTAGTGATGTGCAAGTCTGTAGTCCAGACATAAAAATCAGCCACTGAGCAAGCCACGACGTGCCAGGTGCACCATCAAAGGCATCTTTTTGTTGGCACCAGAGTTTGGAATTTATAGTACCTAGGAAACATCCGCTTGCCAATCCAGACGTGGGCCACCGATACTGGTTGCCAGCTCAGTGATGACAGTCATGTGTGACTCAAATACTTTCTAAAAGGCGAGAGAACTACTCAGGAGGCCCAGGTACCATCACCCCGAGACCCATCTCCCAGGCCTGTTTCCACAGGTGCTGGCTGGAGTGGAGAGACCCTGTTTTCCATAAGAAGCCAAGAGAGTTGGGTGTGGTAGCTCATGCCTGTAATCCAAGCTACTTAAGAGGCTGAGATCTGAGGATGGTGGTTTGAAGCCCAACCCCAGTCAGGAAAGTCTGTGAGACTCTTATCTTCAACAAACTACTCAGAAAAGGCTGAAAGTGGTGCTGTGGCTCAAGTGGTAGAGTGTTAGCCTGGAGCCAAAGAAGCTCAGGGACAGAGCCTAAGCCCTGAGTTCAAGTTCTAGTTTTGGCGCGCACGCGCGCACACACACACACACACACACACACACACACACACACAGAGCAAATGAGCCACGTGTAGAGAGGAAGCCTCTTGTTACTGTATCTCTCACCCAATGCCAGGAAGAGAAAGGTACTCCCCCCACCAGCTCCTTTTGCTCAAGGCTAGCACTCTACCACTTGAGCCACAGTGCCACTTCTAGCTTTTTCCTGTGACTAATTGGAGATAAGAGTCTGGCAGACTTCCCTGCCTGGAGTGGCTTCAAACTGCAATCCTCAGATCTCAGCCTCCTGAGTAGCTAGGATGACAGGCCTGAGCCACCAGTGCCCAGCATGGTTTAGAACTATTCTAAAAACAGAAAAAGGTTAGCTAAGAGCTGGTTGTTCATGGTTCATGCCTATAATCCTAGCTACTCAGGAAGCTGAGATCTGGGGATCCCAGTTCAAAGCCAACTTCGGCAGAAAAGTCCATGAGACTCTGATCTCCAATGAACCACCACAAAGCTGGAAGTGGAGCTGTGGCTCAAGTGGTAGAGTGTTAGTCTTGAGCAAAAAAAGTCAGCACCAAAAAAGCTTTCATGGGTTCTTACTGATCTTAAGATAAAAGAGAGGATTGGAGGTATGGCTCAAGTGGTAGAGGTCCATGAATGAGCAAGAAAGCTGAGAGGCGTGTGTGCTCAAGGAAGAGAGGGAGGGGAGTAAGAGACAGAGGGAGAGGGAAAGGGAGAGGGAGAGGGAGAGAGCGTGTGAGTATGACCATGGCTCCAAGTTCAAGTCCTGGTACCAGCAAAAAGATAAGAATTTAACAATGCTTTTGTAACCAGTTTCTCAGTCTCCTCAGCCCTAAGCCCCCAACCCAGGTCATACCGAGACCCTCTTGGCACCTGACATCATATAAAGCAACCATTTAATATGTATTTATATCACCTAACTAATACCTTAAAGTTCATTCTTGTTGTAGCATATACTAGAATTCCTTTTGTAAGGCTGCATAGTATTCCATTATGCATTTATCGCATTTTGTTTACCCATTTGTCTATGAACATTTATATGGTTTCCTCTCATGTGTGATTTTTTTTGTGTGTGGTGTGTGCTGGAGATGAGGAGCAAAGCTAGGGCTGTGGATGCCACTGGGAGGTGCTTCAGGGAGGTAAGGGAAATGTCATTCGCTTTGTGAAGACTAAAGGATGTCATTTGTTTTTCCTCAAATCCCAGCTTTGTTCCCAGCTCAGATGTTTACCAGAAACTTCTTTTAAACTTGTTTGTGCTGGTCCTGGGGCTTGAACTTAGGGCCTAGCTGCTGTCCCTGAGCATTTTTGCTCAAGGCTTGTACTCTACTTTTGAGCTACAGCTGCACTTCCAGCTTTCTGGTGGCTGGAGACAAGAGTCTGATAAGACTTTTCTGCCTGAGTTGTCTATGAACCTTGAACCTCAGCTCTCAGCCTCCTGAGTAGCTAGGATGACAGGCAGGTGTGAGTCACCAGCACCCAACTCTCTCATTTCCTTATGACAAACTTTAAAAAAATTATTTTAAGTTAATAAGTTATTAGATTCAACACTTGATTTTTATAAATAAATTACTCATACATTCTTTGTGCTCAATCTTTATACATGGATATTTTAAAACTCTCTAAAGGAAATAATATGCCATTCTTCAACATTCTTGTTTGTTTTAACTGTATTTTTTTGTTTTGTACTGGAGATCAAACACAGGACATTGTACTTGCTAGCCAAGTGTTTTGCCACTGGTCTACATCTTAGCCCAACATTTCTTTTTGGAGTTTAGGTCCTTATGCATGCTAGACAGGTACTCTACCACTTGAGCCACCTCACCAACCCCTTCTATAACCTTTTCTTTTGTTTTAGGCAGTACTAGGATTTGAACTCAGAGCCTCATGCTAAGTAGGCTGGCATTCTACCATTTGAGTCATATGTTCAATTCAGCTTTTTTTTGGCTTTGTTTTTACATTTTAAAATTATTATCTTTAAGTAGTTGTACAAAGAAGTTCCCATTCTACAAAACAGTGTATGAATACAAGGTGTCTGACAACATTGTCACCCATCGCTCCTGACCCATCCCTTCTCTCATTTTTTTTTTTTTGTCGATCATGGGGCTTGAACTCTGGGACTCAGCACTGTCCCTCAGCTCTTCAGCTCAAGGCTAGCGCTCTACCATTGAGCTACAGTGTCACTTTCAGTTTTCTGGTGGTTTATGGGAGATAAGAGTTTCACGGACTTTCCTGCACGGGCTGGCTTTGAACCGTGATCCTCAGAGCTGAGCCTCCTGGGTAGCTAGGATTACAGGTGTGAGCCACCGGCGCCTGGAACTTTTTTTTAATTGAGATTAAGTGATTACACAGATTTCACATATTTCATAGCATTGTGGAATAGTGATACTTATAGTCACAAACGCATTTTAATCTTCACAAGGCAAATTGTCATTATCACGGTCTATAAAGTTTGTGAATTCTATGAGCTTTGACAATACAATATTTCTTCCACATCAGGTGATGTTTACATTTCTTTCCTTTTGGTTAGTGTAGGCTGTTTCCTCGTTCCCTCTCCTTCCTCTCTCCCATCGCTATCTTTGGGTTACTTAGTTCTTTTTCTTCTACATCCAGTACAGCTGATGGGCCCCTTTGTTGTTATGTTGTTCCGTTTCCCACTTATTCTGCATCCTTATGACAAACTTTTGCCCCCTCCAAAATTAGAATTCCTTTTAAGCCTGCTTGCCCTGCCCATCTCATCAGACTCGTCTAGGGCCCTCTATTTCAGCCATGATCATCTTAAATTTCTCCACATCACAGGACTTATAGAGAAGATATTCCCTCAGATTGGCATTATGTATTTCATCTAGGCCACTTAACCAAACCTTTTTTTTTTTTTTGTGCCTGTCCTGGGGCTTGAACTCAGGGCCTGGGTGCTATCCCTTTTGCTTGAGGCTCTACCACTTTGAGCCACACAGCCACTTCTGGTTTTCTGGTTGTTAATTGGAGATAAGAGTCTCATGGACTTTCCTCCTGAGCAGCTAGGATTACAGGTGTGAGCCACCAGTGCCTGGCACTTTTTTTTTTTTTTTTGTCAGTTGTGGGGTCTGAACTCTGGGCCTGGGAACTGTCCCTGAGTGCTTCAGCTCAAGGCTAGCGCTCTACATGAGCCACAGTGCCACTTCCGGCTTTTTCCGCTTATGTGGTGCTGAGGAATTGAACCCAGGGCCTCAGGCATGCAAGGCAAGCGCTCTACCACTGAGCCACCTTCCCAGCACTTCCTCTTTCCTCCCCCTGCCCCCCCACTTCTTACAATCTTTTCCCAGCATCTAGTCTTCTATAAATGGTAGGGGAAAACGGTAATCGCTAAATGCCTGTCTTCTGCATTCTACTTGTATGTTCCATGTAGGCTAGGACTATGTTTCTTCTCTTCATCACTAAATTCCAGCCGAGCACCAAATAAATACTTGCAAACTAAGAATGGCCAGCTATTAGCTGAAGAGGAAACACTGGGGTTCCCCCCCCCCCATACACACACTGTTGACTAGATTTTCTGGGTGTGGAAGGCGTGCCCAGACATACCACTACCTCACTGCTGGAGCAGCCTGGCTAGTGCTCAGCACATCAGAAGCCAACAGGACAGACCTATATACAAGGTTTTCTTTCCCTATGTCAGCCTTAGGTGACTAGGAAATGTTAGGGGACAATCAAAGCTTTGTGATCAACAGAACGATCCAATTTGAATAGTGCTAAATCTGTGTGAGTGCATGCATTTGTGTGCAAGTGCTTGTAATGGGGCTTAAACTCCAGGCCTGGGTGCTGTCCCTTAGCTTTGTTCAAAAATGGCATCCTACCACTTGAGCCACAGCTCCACTTTTGGCTTTTTGTTGTTTTATTGGAGATTAGAATCTCACAGACATTCCTGCCCAGGCTTGGCTTCAAACCAAGATCCTCAGATCTCAGCCTCCTGAATAACATGACAGGCATGAGCCACCAGAGCCTGGCTTAGTGCTAAAATCTTATAGAACTTTAGGCTCAGACATGGAGAGCCAAAGAGAAAAGGACATTTAGATTTAGAGTCAAAGGTTAATGACATTGGGCTATTCTCCAAGGGGTGGAGAGAATGTGCATCTTTTTGTTGCCATCTTCCTGGCTTTCTCCTTCTCTTTATCCCTCCCTTCCTTTCTTACCTCCTTCTTTTCCTTCCCTCTTTTTTCCTTCCTTTCCCCCTTTCTCTAGTACTTGATCATTTCTTAGTGATCCCTCTAAACAGTTTTAACACAGAGATCTGACCCCTTTTAAAACGACCTTTTTTCCTCTTTTAAAATGTCTATTTTCTGAACGATCAGAATTGCTCAAGAAGAAAGTCATTCAACCCATTGGGTGGGCAGCGGAGCACTGTCCTCTACTCCAGGCACCGTCTACTCGTTTTTAAAAGACTTTTTGGCCCGGAGCTTGTGGCTCTCAGGTGGTGACACCTGTCTTCATCCTATAGGATAAAGCTCTTCTTTCTTTCTTTTTTGTGGCCAGTTCTGGGGCTTGAACTCTGGGGCTGGGCGCTGTCCCTGAGCTTTTTCACTCCAGGCTGGTGTTCTACCACTTGAGCCACACCTCTACTTCTGGCTTTTTGCCGGTTCCATGGAGATAAGAGTCTCACAGCCTTTCCTTCGTGGGCTGGCTTTGAACCGTGACCCTCAGGTCTCAGCTAGGATGACAGGCGTGGGCCACCAGGCCGGGCTTGGAGAAAAGGTTTTCTGTTCTTTTCTCTCTCTCTCTCCCCCTCACCTCTCTTTTTCTTGTGTTTTCCAATGTTTCCAGGGCATAAGCGTCCATCATAAAGGCAGGAGAGCAAGGGGCTCCGGACACCCCGATTGCTCCCCGGAAGGCGGATGCAGGGAGACGTCCCCCCGAAAGTCAACGCGGGGTGCAGAGCGCGGGAGGGGCTGCCCAAGGACGGCGGCCCACTAAAGAAGTCCCCCCGGGAAATACTTGTGAGCAGGTGTGGTCCTCCCAGGAGGCCAGTTTCTTCAACTCTCAGACAAGTCTTTTCTCCTCACGGTCACCCACACAACTTCAGAGCCGCCGCCATCACCTCCTCGACAACCACAACCAAAGAACGACCCCCCCCCAACACACACCCAGCAGCCACCACAGGCCTGTTTTCCCCGCCGCGCCCACCACACCCGCCGGCCACGCCCCGCTTCAGGCCCGCCTCCCTCAGTGAACCAGCTGATGATTGGCTGGAAGCGCTGCCTGTTTCGAGAGGCGCACACGTCACTCATAATCCGGCATTCCTATTGGTTATGGCGGCGGCGGCGGCGCGCGCGGCTCCTCCCCTCCGGCGGGGAGGGAGTGGGGTGAGGTGGTGGCGAGGGGAGGTGGAGGGGGTGGGGGGGGAGAGAGGGAAACCGGTGGCCGTGGCGGCGGCGGCGGCGGCGGCGGCGGCGGAACGGGCGGAGGCAGCCGGTTTCGTAACCGTCGCTCCTCGGGGCTGACTCGCGGGGCTTCTAGGCCTGGGTCGGAGTCGAGCCTGTGGCCACTCGGGGCCCTCGCTTAGAGCAGAGACCGCCTGAGGGCGGGCGGGCGGGCTGGAAACCCAGGTAAGGAAACCGCGGGGCGGTCACCACCCAGAGGAGGAGGCGGGGTGGAGGCCGCAAGTGAAGCCGGCCGCTTGCGTGGGCGCGAGCCCGGCCCAAGGAGAGACCTAGCCCGGGTGGCGGTGGCTCACTGGGCCGGGAAGGCCTCGGATGGTTCCCGACTCGGGATACCCCCCCCCCCCCCCCCACCGACTTCGACGTCTGATGCAACCTGCCGGCAACACCCGACACCGACGGGCTGAGCTCATCGCTGGCCGGGGCCCCGCGCCCGGGCGCCATCCTGGACCCCCGCTCTCCACCCCCCGCCCCGCGGGGAGGGGACGAGGTGTCTCCCCTTCCCCCCCCCCCCCCCGCCTCCAAACGCGCAGGGTGACCAGCCAGGCGCGGATTGGCCCCTGGGGATGCAGAGCTGTGCCCAGAATAGCAGAAGGTGGACCATATCTTTTCGTTTCATGCCACACAGGACATTTCCTGTCGCTTCCAACCACAGCTGAGCTGGCTGGGTGGAAGAGAATGGTGTGTAGCCATTTATTTTATTATGCGGTTGTATTGTTGTTTTTGTTTTTCCCAGGATTATTATTTTTTAATTTTTGGCCGGTCTATGGAGATATTTGCACCTCCTGCAGGTCACTATATATAGGACATAGCATAGTGCAAGGCAGCAGAGTTGAAGGGAAATAGAGCAGAGAGCAAGCAATGGGTGTAGAGGGGGAAGGTTGGTGGGAGCCCTCAGAAAGTAGCTCAGCACACAGGTGTCAGGGGGAAAGAGGAAAGGATGCTTCCTCCCTGCCCCCCAAGTAAGCACGATTTTGTTTCTGCTTTTCAGAAGGTTGATGGGTTTACCTTTTGCTAGATCCATCCTTCCTTCCTTCCTTTCCTTCCCTCCCTCTATCCTTCCCTCCCTCTTCCTCCTCCTCTCCCTCCTTTTTCTTTCCTTCTTTCTCTTTCCTTTTCTCTTTCCTTTTCTTCTTTCTCTTTCACTTTCTCTCTTTTCTTTCCTTCTTTCTTTCCTGAGAACCTACATCTTAACCTGTATTCCTCTTGGAAAGGTTTTTCATAGAGTTGATGGGCTACAGAAAAAAAATTGCGAGTTCTGACTCAGGCTGCACACACTTGAATCCTTATTTGAGTATATCAATCATTTTATGTAGATCTGTCTCAAAGCAGCGCAACTCTCCAAGAAAATTTTCAAGTAAGATACTGTAAGCTGATTTTCTTGAAATTCTGCATGTCCAAGTTCTTGATATTAAAGAACTGGTTAGGTATTATGACTTGAATAGTATTTAGGTAAGCTAATTATTCTTCAGGGTAGTCTCTGCTTCTGGAAAAACTCATAAACAAGGATAACTAATTACGGGATGCTGAAGATTTCAGCGTCTTGTTTCTTACTTGCCTGGTTCAGTTTAGTGGCAGCCTTTAAAAAAAAAAAAAGGTGGGATCTGGGTACTGGTGGTGCATGCCTGTAATCCTAGCTGCTCTGGAGGCTGAGATCTGTGGGTTGCAAAGTCAGATTTTCTCTGTGAGATAAACCACCAAAGAACCAGAAGCAGAGGTGTGGCTCAAATGGTAGAGTGCCAGTTCAAGCCCAGTACACTTCCCTCTCCCCCACGCAAAACTTATAAAATTTAATTGAAATATGAACACAAATTTAAATACAAAACTTCATTGTTAAAATTAAAATTTCAGGAGTATATTGTATTTGTCAAAAAGGCTATGTGATCTTAGAGAGATGGCTTCATCCTTGGGGAATTAAACAGCTCTTGGTGGCCCCCTGAGAAAAACACGTAAGACCTTGTGGGGCTGATTATGGTCTGAAGTTGCTTTGTCTTTGAGAAGTGGCCACAGTAATGATAACTCTAGGTAGCCACAATTCTAGGTTTATCCTTGGGAGGGGTGTCTGCATGGGTTCTTGTGCTGATAGGTACACTGATTGCCTTCTTTTCTGGCTGCCCAGCTCTAACAGTAAAAAAGAAAAAAAGATAGTGTATATTATTCTGTTTGAATGTTGCATCTCATACTCTAGATAGGTTTAAAAGATGATAAATATATATATGTTTTCTTCTTCCTTTTTTTTTTTTTTTTGGTGTTGGTCCTGGGGCTTGAACTCAGGGCCTCAAGTGTTGTTCCTGAGCACTGTACGAGTTGAGCCACAGCTCCACTTCCAGCTTTTTGGTGGTTCATTGGAGAGAAGTCTATAGACTTTCCTGCCCCGGCTGGCTTGGAACTTATCCTCAGATCTCAGCCTCCTAAGTAGCTAAGGTTAAAGACGTGAGCCATCAGATTCCAGCTACTTTTTCTTCTCAAACTCTTTCTTGGACCCTGCCCTAGCTGCTGGGCAAGTGAAGGTGAACTGAGCCCTGCCCCCAGCTGAGTCTGCAGGGAGATAGATGCACTAGAGGTGGAGACCATGACAGTGCTGGGGTAGCCCCGGGCTGCAGGTGGTCAAGCATTGCGGTGACCAGCACAAGGGATCCTGCACTGCAGGGTCAGGACCTTTCGTGTAAGTCCTGGAGGCTGGAGGCACAGACCACTTGTCAGGGGGAGGGTGTGACTCAGGGAGGTTGGAGTGTTCCACGGCTTTGGGGAACTAGGCTCAGCTAGAGACTGGTTCCCCTGAGAGATGATGTCAGCCTGAGGTAATTTGTGTGGCACTGGAATGAAGGGGAATGGGAGATGGAGGTGTTTTCTTCTGTTTCCCTTTGTCTTAGGAACAATAGTCAGACTTGCCAATGATTGAACAGATTGTAAAGAGTTAAAAGGAATGGAGAACACTTATCTTCAGGGGAAAAGGAGGGAGCAACAGGTTCTAAGCATATGAAGAAAACAAGTGACAAAAAGGGCTAGGGAAGTTCTTGACTGTTTTTTTTTTCCCCCAAGAGAAGATGGAGAAAAATTCAGTTTTATTTTTCTCATTCTAACATTCCAAGCTTTCATTGTATTAACTGATTTGAATGAACATGACTCAAATTAAGAAATCTGAATCAGAAGAAATGTGTTACTCATTTAGCTCGACATTCTTTTATACATTTGTGCTGTTACTAGGCCTCGAACTCATCCTGGGCGCTGTCGCTGAAACTTTTTCTGCCCAAGGCTGTTGCTCTACCACTTGAGCCACAGCTCCACTTCTGACTTTTTAGTGGTTAGTTGGCGATTAGAGTCTCACAGATTTTCTTTCCAGGGCTGGCTTTGAACCTTAGTCCTCAGATCGAGGCCTCCTGAGTTGCTAGGATTACAGGTGTGAGCCACCGGTAACCTGCTTAGCTCGCTCTCACACTTCAGTGTTGCTGAGTCCCTAGACATTTCATTATACAAGGCCCACTAGCTCTTCCCCAGGATGAACCTGCTAGATTTCCATCTGTGCAAGGTTCCTAAGGATGCTGCTGCTTCCTAAGGATACTTGTCGGGGACCACTCTTTGAGATGTGCTCCTTAGCTTTCCTGTCCCTCCTGGAGTGGAGTGGTCACTTGCAAGGAAATGGGGACCACCCCGCTTCCTGTACCCTGAACTTCGGATCAGGGTTGGTCCACAAGGAGCCAGACCTGCATTAAGTTGGTTTTTGTTTTTTTTTTTTTTGTCTGTCATGGGGCTTGAACTCTGGGCCTGGGCGCTGTCCCTCAGCTCTTCAGCTCAAGGCTAGCACCCTACCACTTGAGCTACAGCGCCACTTCCGGTTTTCTAGTGGTTTATTGGAGATAGGAGTCTCACGGTCTTTCCTGCCTGGGCTGGCTTTGAACCGCAATTCTCAGATCTCAGCCTCCTGAGTAGCTAGGATTACAGGCATGAGCCACCGGCGCCCGGCTCTGCATTAAGTTTTAACTAGCGAGATTTGAAAAAACTTCATTTATTAGTTTGTTGTAGGTGCTCAGTAAATGTGGAAGGAGCAAAAGTATAATGCCATAGTTTTTGTTCATTCACTATGTAAAGTACTCCTTTATTTTCCTCTTTGATCTGTTACTTGGTTCTTTTTTTGGGGGGGGGTGTCAGTTATGGGGCTTAAACTCTAGGCCTGGGTGCTGTTGCTGTGCTCTTCAGTTCAAGGCTAGCACTCTACCACTTGAGCCATAGTACCACTTAAGCTATACAGTACCACTTCTGGTTTTCATGTGGTTGATTGGAGATAAGACCGTCAAGTATGTTCCTGTCTGGGTTGGCTTTGAACTGCAATCTTCAGATCTCAAGTCTCCTGAGTAGCTAGGATTACAGTTATGAGCCACCAGGACCTGGCTTGGTTCATTTTTTCGTCACTTTAACAATTTTTTAAAAATTTATTTTTAATTAATTAATTTATTTTTATTGTGAAAATACCGTACAGAGGGGTTACAATTACAGGGGCAAGGTAATGAGTACATTTCTTATCAAGCATTGTAGCCTCCTCCTTTGTTTCCCCTTCCTATCCCTTCCCATCCCTTCCCATCCTCCCTCCATCCCCTGACCCAATCCTCCTCCCCCCCACCAAAGTTATAAAGTTTGTTTTCGATATAATGACTTGTACATCTCATTGTTGCAATGGGTCCACCTGTATCCCTATTTAAACATTTGTTGTTGCCCTTCCCCTCCACAAATTATACTGACATCAAATACAGTGAAATACAGGGGTTATACCGTGGGGGAGGGACATACAAAAAAATATTTAACAACTTTCTTGAAGATTTTTTTTTTTTTTGTTGGTCATGGGGCTTGAACTCTGGGCCTGAGCGCTGTCCCTCAGCTCTTCAGCTCAAGGCTAGCACTCTACCACTTGAGCCACAGCACCATTTCCAGCCTTTTCTATTTGTGTTAGGAGGAATTGAACCCAGGGCTTCATGCATGCTAGTCAGGCACTCTACCACTAAGCCACATTCCCAGCCCCTTACCTTGGCAGGATGAGTCAGACAGAGATAGAGGAACCCCTTCCCATTCCTGTAGCTTTGGTTCAAAAGTAGGCATGACCATCACTGAATTTGGAGTCTCTAATGACTAAAGTCAGAGGCTGAGTTTGTGGCCTGTAGTCAACCATTTCCACGTATTTCCCTTGTGTGTAGCAGGGGGACCTTGAAGTCCCCAGGGAGGCAGAGCCGAGATCAGAGTTGACCTGCTTGGCTACATTTGCTATAGAGATTAGAGAGTAAGAAAATAATCGGTATATAAAAAGTTTTTAAGTAGATAATTAAGATGAATACGATTGCAGTTGCAAAGACAGTTCCAGGAGAAGTATTAAAACAAGTTTTTTTTTAATTGGGTAAAACACTGAATTTACACAAAGAAGTAAGCACTAGTGTCTCAGTAGTAGTGAATGGCAACTCTATAAGTAGAAGCAAAATGAGGCGACCTCATAGATTTTCAGGGGAAATTGTGAAAAGTCCATTACTGAGCAAAGACTTGGAGTAGAAATCCATCATGGTTTGGAGGGAAGCTCTCTGTCTTGCCTTAGTACTGGAGTGGGAACAGATGAACCACTAGCTCTGGGCTGGCTGAGTGGCTTTTAAAACAACTCATAGTAATGATATATGGACTTGAAAAAGCAGACTTGAAAAAGAGAAGACTAATAACAGTGTTTATAGCAGTGCCTGGCTCAAGTTTGGTCAAAGCTATGGGTGTTTACTAAGTGAACTTTTCTTAATTAATTATGGGATGCACTCCAGAGTTTTCCTATTGATTTAGTTGTAGCAGTTTTGTGAAAAGGACCATTTTGTGGTTTTAATCCATTTCCATAGTTGAACCTAGTACTTTCATTTCTTTTTTTGTTTTTTCCTGATCCTGGAGCTTGAAGTTGGCCTGAACATTGTCCTTGAGCTTTTGTGCTCAAGGCTGGCCCTCTACCACTTGAGCCACAGCTCCACTTCTGGCTTTTTTGTTGTTCATTAGAGGTAGAGTCTCATGGACTTTCCTGCCTGGGCTGGCTTTGAATAGTGATCTTTAAGATCTCAGCCTCCGGAATAGCTAGGCTGACAGGCAGGAGCTTCCATTTCCATGGGCAGCAGCACCACTGCCCTGCCCCTGAATCCCAGGCACTTGGACTTTCTTTGTGATTTCAGATTTCTATATGTTTCAGGAATTATATCAAGGCTAAACAGAATGAGAAGCAAGGGGGAACCTTACCAGGTGTCTTTGAGTTCCTCTGTCCAAGAAACTCACTTGGTAACTTTGAGAAAGCTCAGCAAGCAAAACCTTTTCAAAAATACCCCATAAAGGGTGCTGGCCAAGAGTTAATCCTGGCTGACTCCAGTTTTTGTCTGAATTGGGAGCGTGGGCGCCACAGCATCCTATTCCTCCTGGAGTAGTTTGACTCGACCTGTAGTTAAAAGACGGTTTTTCCCTTTGGTTGCAGGTGTCTCCTAACCATAATTAACCAAACACCTCAAATATCTCCCTGGCAGATTGTCAAGTGCTGCCGATTCATAGGAGCTACCCTAATTAGTGACTTCTTTTGTTTTTTTTTCTCTCCCTGTCTTGATAACCATCGATCACAGATGGGCAAAGCCCTTAGGGGTTCAGGTGGGCTGGGCTCCGCTTTAGGGTGCCTCTGTACCAGCTTACCTGTAACTGGAAAGCTTCAGACTTCGGAAGTGTTGGGACCATTGGCTCTAGACTTGTCTCAGCGTCAGCAGTGTACGTGGCCTGCCGCAGGGGGGCCATGCAAGTTTAATCTCATTCAAGCCTGCCATTCGAAGTATTTTAATTCCATTTCTTTTTTAACTAGATACACCTGGAGATTTTGGGGGCAGTTTAGCGTGGCAACCCCATTGATCGCCTTGTGCTCATTTCTACCTGTCCCCCCCGCGCTGGCAAGGGAGAGTGTCCAAATGAGCAAGATATCACAGCCAAACAGTGCCGCAGGAGTGAACGGGGTCAGTGTCATTCATACCCAGGCCCATGCCAGTGGCTTGCAGCAGGTCCCTCAGCTGGTGCCTGCTGGCCCCGGGGGAGGAGGTAAAGCTGTGTCTGCCAGCAAGCAAAGCAAAAAGAGTTCCCCCATGGATCGGAATAGCGACGAATACCGGCAGCGCCGAGAACGGAACAACATGGCTGTTAAAAAGAGCCGCTTGAAAAGCAAGCAGAAAGCACAAGATACCCTGCAGAGGGTGAACCAGCTCAAAGAAGAGAACGAACGCTTGGAAGCCAAAATTAAACTGCTCACAAAGGAATTAAGTGTACTGAAAGACTTGTTTCTGGAGCATGCGCACAACCTTGCAGACAACGTGCAACCCCTTAGCACCGAAACGACCACGACAAATTCGGAGAGCACAGGACAGTAGACCTCATTCTTTGCAGACTTGACAACTTGGGGGGTTAAAGGGGCGACCATGTGCACCCCTCAAATGGCTGAGTGGTGTCGAGCCTTCTCTATTCAACCATCCACTGGAGGTTGTTTTCTAGGATCACCACTAAAGAGTCGATTAGCCAGGGAATTTACATATCGATCTTAAAATGTGGGGGTCAGAAGAATGCTAAGGTATATGGTTAACAAAAAAATCCTGGACCTTGATGTTCTTGAGTCTTGACTTGGTCAGAAATAGGCTTCTTTTAGGTTGACAGAAAGAATGGAAAATTGGCAGATCGTGCGGGCAGCTCTCGGTTTTAGCAGAAAAGATCAATTGGGTTAAGTGAAATTGCCATCTATGTTAATCTATTTGTGATTAAATTGTCTATTACAATCCTGGGACTGTAGAAACCAAACAGTTTGTAATTGGGCACAATTTTATGTATAGCATACACCTTGTTTTAATATAATTAATACTGTCCCATCCCTTCCCTCCCTCTGCCCCCACTGTAGTAAGTTTCTGAACTGTGATGTCAGCTTACATAAAGAAGCCACATCACACCGTAAAAATAGAACACTTAGGAAGCGGAGAGACTTAAAAAATAAAAGACACATTAGAATCATGCTTTTGGGATACCTTTGGGTTACTGGGTGACATAGTTTTGTGATGGATTTTATATATATATCTATATGTCTACATATAGACATATAGATATATATATAGATATATCCCCACTTGTGTCCCAAAATTTTAAGCTTCTGTAGTTGCTAGTGAAGCTATTTTTTTTTTTTAATTTCAGAATCCATTTTGACAGCCAAGTTAGTAAATAAAGTGATTTAGCAGCTTGGTGGCGTAAGCTACTGATTAGGATTGGGAATACTAGTGCAGCTGGTAGTTTCTTCCCTGTGCAAAATAACTGCCTAGGGCCACAATTTTTATGTGTGTGTGTGTGTGTGTGTGTGTGTGTGTGTGTGTGTGCGTGCGTGCTAGTCCTGGGGCTTGAACTCAGGGCCCAGGTGCTGTCCCTGAGCTGCTTTGCTCAAGGCTGATGCTCTGCCACTTGAGCCACAGTGCCACTTCTGGTTTTCTAGTAGCTCATTGGAGATAAGGACTTTCCTGCCCAGGCTGGCTTTGAACCTTGATCTTCAAATCTCAGCCTCCTGAGTAGCTAGGATTACAGGTGTGAGCCTTGGGCACCTGGGCCGCGGTTTTTAAAGTAAAAAATTTTCTGGTGAAGAAACAAGCACGATTTTTTTTTTTTTTAAGGCAAAATATATCTGGTAAAGAAACATTTGGTTGTAACCAAATGATTTGAAAAATGTATCAACCCTGTGCCATCCCAAAAGAATACTCTTAAGAAAACTTGAAAGTCCAAGGTTTTAGCCTTTAACTTATTTCCCTTAAAAATGTCTTTTTATATTGTGACAGTTTCTTTTCCTAGTTAGTAGGCTTTTCTTCTAGATTCGATATACCCTGCCTCTGTTTATCCACTTGGGTGCTTTTATGTTCCATAAATTATTTTCAAAAGAAAATATTGGTAACACTCAGGATATTGACATTTTTGTTGACTTAAAAATATGTCAGTTATTAATGTAAGGGCATCTCTAGAGTCTGCCTTATTTCATGTTGATAGTTTATAGATTGTCTCAACTTTTTTCCTTTTTTTTTTTTAAAGCAAAATTCTAACTCCCATTTGTTGGCTTCGGTGTATTAAGTGACTAGACACGAGTCCTCTGTGACTAGAGTCTGGGTTACCTGCACCTCACTTGAACCTGGCTGCTTTGCTGTTCTCCACGTAGGACTTGAGGTAATGGAACCAGCAGGGAAGTGGACTGCCCCCCTGGCTTTGGTGGGAGACTTCTGACTGCCACTCTCCTGTCATGTCGCGCTCGTAGCTCTCCAAAGCCAACACCTTGGGCAAGAGCCCGGCATTGTTCCTTGTGACACTTCCCAGGAAGGCTGTTAACCACCCAACAACCAGCCAGCAGGCTCTGTGGCTTTTTTTTTAACTTGTTTTTTTATTAAATTAGGACCCAACACCAGTTTGTTTACTTCAGCTAGAATATTGATCTGCTCATAAAGTTGATAGATGTTTTGAATAATTTAGCCAGGATGAACCCACAGAATCCTCCTGAATCTTTTAACTGCTGAGGGATGTTCTATCATTAGCTTAATTGGAGATGCAGTTAGGCCCCTTGAATGTTTAAACACTTATAATAGGTGTTAATGGACATTTTAATTTCTTATCTCCCCCCTCCCCAATAGCTTCCTGAAATGGATGCCTTCATGGGATTAACCAGGCATGAAAATGAAGTATATTGGAGGAAGTATGTGTGTGAGAGTGTGCTCAGGAGAGAAGACTGGAGCTTGTAGGAAGATCAGTTCAAGCTTTCCTTTCACATTAGCACAAGCCAGTGATGGTGCATAGGACAGGGATGCTAGCCAGCTCTTGGCCATCTTAGGGGAAAGTTGTTAGTCTGGTAGATTGGTCAGTGTAACGTTGAGGGAAAGCAGGAGTGGGGAGGGGGGTGAGTTTTAGGAGCTGCAAGGTGACATTTGTAACTTTTGGACTGTTAGCATTGGCTCTGTTCTGTGGCCCGCTCAGAGGTTGAGGGAAGCTGTAGTGTGGAAGCTTAGAGCTGTGTGTGTGAATCTCCTGGGAGAGGTGCTCACTGGCTGGGGTCTCTTATCCTGAGGTCAGAGCCCCTCTCCCTGGCCTGGCTCCTTGAAGCGACTAGGGTGCCAGCTCCAGATATCTGGGACATTTTTACTAAGTTGTAGCAAGATTTTCCTAAAATATGACCAGATGTTGGAAATTGAGGTCATGAGTATGCGATTCTGAAGTTTCTGTAAAACGTCAACGTCAGCAATTGGACATGAAGGGAATTGTATGGCTATTTCTTAACACCTACTAGAGGGCTGGAACTTTGTACCCAACCACCCAATTTAGCACTCCCTCCCAGTGCTTTCTGATGCCTTAGAAATAGGAGAAATGGTTCTGTTCTTGTTGACAAGCTAGTGAAGAACAAGTTCACAAGGTAGTTAATTCCACCAGACACATCTGCCTCTCAGGAAAAAGTACTCGCTTGTTCTTTTTGTCCCTGGTTTTCAGTTTGTGAGATTACTCTATTTTTTTAAATATAATTTTATTTCTTTCAACGAATTTAAAAATAAAAGAAAAGCCTTTGAACAATGACTATTTCACTGTGGGTTTCTTTATATTAGACACAAAAAAGCAGTTTGTACAAGGACCTGGGAGGAGCCTGCGGTGCCTGGCTGTTCTGGTCCCAGCTGTGGAGCCTCGTCCCAACCTGCCTTTCCCTTCAGTGGTGAGAACTGGCTTTCTGTAGAGCACATCTTTATAGTCTTAGTAGAATGCATTCTACCACAGAGACAGGATCCCTGGGTTCTGCCTAATTACCTAGCATCTCAGTATTGGTCTTTTTTGACAGTGGGGATAGTTTTTTTTTGTTTGGGTTGGTCATGGGGCTTGAACTCAGGGCCTGGGTGCTGTCCCTGAGCGTGTTTGCTCAAGGCTTGTGCTTTACCACTTTGAGCCACAGCTCCACTTCTGGCTTCAGGTGGCTAATTGGAGATGAGTTTCCTGCCCAGGCTGGCTTCAAACCATCATCCTCACACCCCAGCCTCTTGAGTATCTAGAATTCTAGGTCTGAGGCCCTGGTTGTGGGGACAGTTTTAATGGAGACAGTCTTAAGTTTGAAGTAGACAAAAGGCCTTTCCCCTACCAATACTATTTCATAAAGGTGAATTCACTGATACGATGGATCTGAGAAGTGTTTCAGAGGAAAAGGCCATTTCCATACTTTCCTTCTATGATGCTTTGTGTTTGGGGAAACAAATTATTGCGCTTTCATGAAAAAGTTGTAGGACAGTTATTTTCCCCTCAGTATATCCCATTTCATTTTAGATTTTTTTTTTTTTGTCAGTCTGGGCTTGGGCGCTGTCCCTACGCTCTTTAGCTCAAGGCAAGCACTCTACTGCTTGAGCTACAGCACTACTTCCAGTTTTCTAGTGGTTTACTGGAGATGAGTGTCACGGACTTTCCTGCCAGGGCTGGCTTTGAACTGTGATTCCTCAGATCTCAGCCTCCTGAGTAGCTAGGATTACAGGTGTGAGCCACCAGTGCCCAGTTCTAGAATTTTTTTTTTTTTTTTTTTTTGGTGTTACTGGCATTTGACTCAGTGCACTGCACTTGCTAGATAGGTACTCTACCACTTGGAGCCATACCTCACAGTCCTTTTTCTGCTTTTAGTTAATTTTTCAATTAGGTTCTGGTGAGGGTTTTTGTCTGGCCAGCTTTGGTGCCAAGATTACCTATGGCCTCCCGCGTAGCTAGGATGACAGGCACCCGCCAGTGTTCCAGCCTTGTTGATCAAAATGGCATCTTGAGCCGGGTGCTGGTGGCTCATGCCTGTCATCCTAGCTACTCAGGAGGCTGAGATCTGAGGATCGAGGTTCAAAGCCAGCCTGCGCAGGAAAGACTGTGAGACTCCTATCTCCAATAAACCACCAGAAAACTGGAAGTGGCACTGTAGCTCAAGTGGTAGAGTGCTCACCTTGAGCTGAAGAGCTGAGGGATAGTGCTCAGGCAGAGTTCAAGCCCCATGACCGACCAAAAAAAAAAAAAAGGCATCTTGAGAGTTTTTTGCCCTGGCTGGCCTCAAATCCTGATCTACTTCCAGTCTCTATCTCCTGAGTAGCTGAAACTACAGGAGTGAGCCACCTCACCCAATGGGAATTTTTATAGATTGTGAAGGTCTCAGATCTTCTCATAACAACACCTTCAGATGAACCCTTTCACTGCCGGTAGGTACCTGTAGAGTTCATACGCATTTAACAGGCACTTGAAGGAGAACACAGACTGAGTCCTCTTCCATTGCAGCTCAGACTGCAAGTCCTTTCTAACTGCGTTTCTGGAGCAGGAGAAAGTATGCGGAGCCATCCTCTCCTGGGTCTTCCCAGACAGCAGGATGGTCTCTAGAACAGGTTGTAGCTCCCTAGCGTGCCAATTGCCAGACCCAATCTTGTCATGTGGCTCCTCCTGCCAACTACCCGTACTATTTCTCCTACTGTTTCTTTGGAGTCCTTGGTTTCAAATGTACCATGTTTTACTCCTCACTTCAATCCCTTCCTGACTGCGTCCCGCCTCCCCCCCTCCTGCAGCTGTATGTACAAGGCCAGTCCTGTTTCTACCCTTCCAACAGTGCACCTCTGCATGGTGTTTCTGATGAAGCCCCTTAGGAGGGGTGAACTCAATGAAGAGATGGTGATTGTGTTGTTCTGGTACACTGTTCTGGTATGAAATAGATGTTGAGTTAGTCATGGCCCTTCCAGAAGGGGATCTGGCACCATGTAGCTTCTAGAAGGACTCTAATGAACTTTTTTTTTTTTTTTTTTTTTTGGTCGGTTGTGGGGCTTCAACTTTGGGCCTGGGCACTGTCCATGAGCTCTGCAGCTCAAGGCCAGTGCTCTACCACTTGAACCATAGCACCACTTTTGGTTTTCTGGTGGTTAATTGGAGGTAAAAATCTGCAAGGGGAATTTCCTGTCCACTGGCTCTAAACTGGGATCCTCAGATCTCAGCTTCCTGAGTAGCTAGGATTACAAGTGTGAGCCACCGACACCCGGCTCCTAATGCACTTTTGAAGCTGTCTAAACTTCAGCTGAGGTTGGCGACCTTTCAGTGCAGCTTCCTCAGAAACTCGGGTCGTAACTCCTAAGGAAGACTAGCTTGGGCTGATTTTCTGCCCCATCATGGCTTCATTCCTGACATCCTTTCCTCCCATTCATCCTTCACCTTGGCTCAGAATTCCCGAAGCCAGTTTGGGGGATGGGCAGTTCGGTGGGGTCAGTGAGACAAATGGACACCTGAGGCTGGGACCAGGCACTAAGACCAGGCACTCCCTAAGTTGTGAGTGCAGTTCCATCAGTGGGCTTCCACTCTTGGCCATGTGGCTGCTTTAGGTAAGCATTGTCTGGCTGCTGGTTTGCTAGGGGTCCAGGGGCCTTTCCCTCATGCTCCAGTGCTTCTGGTGCCTGCTTGGGGAGCCTGGCAGAGCTGGCACTGCAGCCCAGCAGAGTCCCTGGAGCTCAAAGCAGGCTTGGGGGAGGCTCCCCTGTTCAGCCTGCCAGTCTGAGGCAGAATCAGAGGCGCACAGCCTGTACTTCCCCAGCGCCATTTTCTTTTCTTTTCTTTTTTTTTTTTTGTCGGTCATGGGGCTTGAACTCTGGGCCAGGGCACTGTCCCTGAGCTCTTCAGCTCTAGTCTAGCACTCTACGACTTGAGCCACAAATGCCACTTGTCTCACAGACTTTCCTGCATGGGCTGGCTTTGAACCATGATCCTCAGATCTCAGCCTCCTGAGTAACTAGGATTACAGGTGTGAGCCACTGGCGCCCAGACCAGTGCTATTTTCTTACCTCAGGGTTCTGGGTTCCACATGCTCATTTGCAAAAAGGATGAAGCAAAAGTCAGGCATGGAGGGCTGTTTTTATGTTTGAAAAACTTTATTGCAAATTCCTTTCTGCACATTGATTTTTGAGAGAAAACGCTAGAAATGTATCTTCCCGGAGAACAGAAATAAAAGTGGCAGCAAGCTGAAGTTTAATTGCTACTAAACAACAGGACTCATTTCCATTGGTTATTTAAATTGTTGTCGTTTAGACAGAGCACACAGAGATGAAGGGTAGGTTTTTGCAGAACGAGTGGCAGGATTTGGCAGGATCACGTGACAATGCCAAGATGTGACTTCTGAGCACGTCTCCCCCTGTGCAGGGCTAACCCCTAATGCTGCCTGGAGGGAGGGAGGCAGGGAGGCCACAAGGCCAGGCTTGGCTTCAGTCTCCCTGGGCCCCTAGGCTGCCTCTACTTGGAGCTGGAGAAGGGCGCCAAGGCTTTGTCAGCGCCCGCCATGCACGCTTCGATTTCCTCCACGGTGCGGGGCACGCAGGTGAGCAGCTCCATGCCAGTGTCAGTCACAGCAACGTCCTCCTCAATGCGGACCTGGGTCAGAGCGACAGGCACTCGTGACGGACGGTGCCCTCCCCCCAGCCCAGGACCTTGTGAGGTGGGCAGGGAATCTGCAGGACCTATGTCCTGCCCCACTGTGGCACACATCTGCGGGAAATCATCCCTCCGCTGCTAGGCAGGTTGAGGGCACTGTGGGTGCAAGAATGTGGGACTCACGGGCACTCACCCCTCCAAAACGGCGGAAGCGCTGCAGGACCTCCTGGTTGAAGAAGCAGGCTTGGGCTGGGTCTGCCAGGGCCTGGTCCAGAAGGTGGTCGATGAAGTAGATGCCCGGCTCCACGGTGAGCACCATGCCCGGCTGCAGGTGCCGTGCAGTGCGCAGGCTCCGCAGGCCTGGCTCATCGATGCGCTCCACACCCTGCGGGTTTGAACTCAGCTTCACACTTGCTAGACAGCTGTCCTATTACTTAAGCCACACGTGCAGCCCATTTGTTCTTGAGTTCAAATATACTCCTAATGTTTTTGCCTGGAACTAGCCTTGGACTGCTATCTTCCTACCTATACCTCCTGTGTACATGGAATTATACGCACATCTGGCTTATTGGTCAAGATGGGAGGGGGGAGTTTCACTAACTTTTAGCCCAGGGTGGCCTTGAACTGTGATCCTCTTGTTCTCTGCCTCTCAAGTTGTTGGGAATATAGGTGTACGCCTCTTTACCTGTCCACAGGTCCTTCTGATAAGGCCCATCTGCTTGCACCTATCTCTGAATTGTGAGTTGCTGGTTACTTCTGGGCTGCCTTCAAGAGCCCCCTAAGGTCCCATGCACAAGGACAAGCTGCCCAGGTGGGCCCACGGGCTAGCAAGGCATCCAGCTGCCCCCGCTGAGGCCCCCTCTCCAGGCCAGAGGAATAGCAGCAGCCAAATGAGGCAAGCCAAAAAAGCTCTTAAGAAGGCTGCGGGCCTCCCGAGCGCATCTTCCCTTTCAGCAGTGGAAACTGGGCGCAGAAGTGCCAGTGCCGCTCCCGGCCCCACCCCTGGCCACCCCAAGTTTTCCACGTGAGCCTCCAGGAAGGGGAGCAGTGCTGCCACCAGGGCAAGCCTGCCAGCACCAGCAGGCGAAGGACCCGCGTGGGCACAGTCTGGCAGGGTGGCTCAGGAGACGTGCGCTGGGGCTGCCCTGTGGAGGACTCATGTCCTTGCTCCC